CTTGATGTAGGCTGCTAAGCCTTTAAACATTTTGCATGTGGAGGATATGAAACAAAATAATTTTTTCAGATTTTATATATACATTTTAATAACTACAAAATCATAAATGACTACATCAATACCATATAATTCAGTATAATTTATCAAGCTTAGTAACTAAGATGTATTTAAAGATGTAAAAAATATGAAATTTCGAGCAGACTAAAGACGCACCCTATCTCCTTGAAATATTGATTCAAAAGAAAAAATGGCTGAGAAAGCCACTAGGGGGGACAATCTTAGCTTCTGATTGGTTATTCATGTCATATATCGAAGTAAGTGTATATAAGGGAGTGTTTCCAAAAATGGAAAGAGGTGGACAAAGTGCCACTGTTGTTGATTTATTATGTGAGCAATATCTTAGCAAGTAGAAAAGATAAGACCTTCTTATTTTTATATTCTAGCTCGTCAATATCAGTAATTTGAGTTTCTAATTTGTACGAAACTATAGACTTAGTATTTTGACTTCACAAACATCTAATTTGAACCAGTTCTACATTCAACATACCACATGACACACAAAAATCCGATGTTCATCCATGTTTTTAATATATAGTTTTAAATTAAGAACTTGAGTAATATTCATGAAATTTTATCACATGTGATTGTAGACATGCACATAAACCAAAGAAGAAATGATAACTCCTATGTATGTAATAAATCCTTTCTAAACTTACAAATTTGTAACTATCTTGTGTAAGATCATCGCACTGTTTTCTAAAACATTAGTTTAGTATTTTAGTTAAAAATTATCCTAATGTTGAAGGTCAGAATCATTGTATTTTACTCATGTTAAAGATTGTTTTATTAAATAAATAGCAACAAAATGCAGAATGTGTGCATTAAGTGTTTTAAACAATGTATTCTGATGTAGCCACAGAATTAACCATATTAGATAAATTGGCAGTAATTTTCTTTCTTTCTTCATTTGAAAGGGCTCTTCTAAAACATCAGTTATGGTCAGAAGGATCAGTTGACCAAAGCCAAGAGGATGAAAATAAAGAATTTGTTGATCCTCTCCCTGCAAAACTGCAAGAAACTGTGGTAATTTTGATTTCCATTTTGTGTTATGTGTGCAAAAAAAAATCCTTATCCATGATGAATCTTGTAGTTCTGATGTTTGATATAAATATCTTTATATTACTGGGTTATAATTGAAGAAAAATTTGAATATGATATTAACCCATGATAAACATCATTTTTTTTTATTATTATTAATTCAGATTTCTCAATGACTACACAGTTCACCTTCATCAGGGAAGATGATTGTATTTTTTTTATGGTAGAATCTTATCAAGTTAAAATATTAAATCTTTGCTGTGTCTCGTAAGGAACAAAGGGTCAGTGCTTTCGATCTCTGGTTTCAAGAGGATGAGAATGGTGATACATTACCTCTGGATGGATGTCAGTCCATCACAGGCCAGCTAACAGCTGGTACCCATTATACTGCTGAGTAGTGGAACAGTTGGGCAACTGTTTAGAATATATTTATTTTGTGAATAATTTGAGATAGAAAGTCAACAAGGAGGACGCGTTGCCATGCTCATTTCACGTGCATGAAAAAAGCATCAAATAGTTGTGTTATATGTTTATTCAGTTACGACTAACAATATCTGGATTATAAATGTTCCTTTTTCAATATGCTTGGCTTAGTGGGTTCACACTTTGGACTCGTATTTTCAGATTTCAAATTTGATTGCGATAAAATTTTAGTGTAATTTATTCTGTTTAAAAAATATAAAATCAAACTTCTAACCTTCATTTTGATCTCTTGCTACCCAATATTTTAGTTTTGTTTGGGGATGTGGGTGGTTGGAGAATTAGATGGACTTTACAACTGAATAGATAAAACTTTCCAGTGCACAAAATGAACTGTTAAAGATTACAGGATTCCATTAACTGCACTATGTTTTACAGTATCTAAACTTTTTAACCAAAAAGGATATTTAAATATGTCTATTTGCTGTAAAAAGTCCCCTTGTGGTATAGCAGTTTTACAGACTCATAATCCAGGGTTTGATTTCCCCCACAGTGGACATAGCAGATAGCTTAATGTGTGTTTGCTTTATTACAAACAAACAAATTGCTTTGAAGCTGTATTTTCTTTTCATGTGGATTTTAAACTTTTGATTCTTCCACTTAGTCAGGTGTGTTTAAAATAATTCAGCTGTAGCTTGGTTTTTCTCATGTAGAGGTTAAAGCTCACACTTGTTGGTCTTACCTGTTAATTAATTAACTTTGTTGTTGTGTCTTCATCACACAAAAATATTTTTGGGAATTTGTTGACAATTGTGAAGTTTAAAGAATAAGAATGATGCCGTGTCTTCCAATCAGCTGATTTAAAATTTGGGGCAGTTCTGTATACTTTGAGGAAGGAGTACAGAGTTAATTCTATGAGTATAAGGTATATTAAGATGAATACTGTCTAATTTTATTAGTTTTAATGATAAAACGTTATGATATAAAACAGTTAACAAAATGATGAACTATTTCATGACATCTGTTGTTGGAATTTAACTAACCAAGTGTGTTGTTTCTGAATGAAATAAAAAGCAAATAATAATAATAATGGTTCAGTTTTTATTTTGTGAAATAAATACATTAACATATGAATACACACCCACAAACACACACACACACACACACACACACACATGTTGTATGCAAAAACTATGTATCTTATTCTCCTATACTGTGCATTTCTCATCTACAAAATTCGGAATTTTTTTAAAGTTCTAATTTTTGGAACAAGCTAAAATATGGTTGAGATCATGTGCAAAGTTCAGCCTGAGGAGTTGATCTTTGTAGCTTGACCGGTCAAGAAACTTATCTGTTGTTTCATGGGATGGTTGAATTGTGTCCTGCTTGATCTTCTATTTGGAAGATAACTTGTAACTCTCATATGGAGTAGAAATACTTCTTCCTTTTGGTGCCCTTTTTTCTGATTGATCAGCTAGAGAGTGAGAATTTATTGGGAACGCAGTTTTGGTGGCAAGAGACTTTCAACAAAAGGAGCCCATATCTGATTTGAGACACCAAAACTCACTGTGGAAGTTCAGTCCTTTGTATCACCTTATTCCCATTGCTAATTATGCAAATTTTATTCTGTCCCCACTACTAAGCAGAGCTGAACATATTGGTTTGCTTTTGTCCATTCATCTGTTCATCCATCTGTCTTGATCTTGTGGACAGGGTATCTCAAGATTTTGACCAAACTTATATAACAGGTACTATGTATAAAGTTCTAGACATGATTGACTTTTGAAGGTCATTGATGAATGGTTAAATGGTCACTAGTGCATAGAAAATAAGCCCCCATCTTGTGAACATAATATATGAAGATTGGAGAGACAGATGAATTTTTACCAAACGTATATGACATTATCAAAATGAGGGGGACTTAAACATACAGTACACAGTTAGTGGAAGCATAGGTATTTCATAAGCATAATTTGCATTTGTTTTAACTTCATTTTAATTCTAAGTTCATTAACTTTTGTTTTAATGCATTTTTATGTGGGGCATGGAATAGATAGTAGTTGGTTTCTTCTCTCTCACACCTGTTGTCACATTAACATTCCAACCAGCCATATCTTTTAACCTCTTACAATGTGGGAGGTTGTTAACTGAGTCTGGTTTATTGTCACAGATATTGGCATTGGCACGTTCAACTAAAATAGGCCTTTAGTGGGACCCAGTGCAGGTGCCCTCTTATAATCTTTCATGTATTCAAGAATGGTACGACTAGTCCGCCCAATATAAAATGCCTAACAATTTCAAAATTTTAAGATTTTGATTAACCAGTACAGAACATATAGTGTAAACTAAAAAGCTTTTCAAGATGTAATTCTGTCAAAAATTAACCTGAAATTCATTTGGGGAAGAATTCTACTTTATGTATTTGGCCCTTCCAATTGGAAAAACCACTGCTGGTGAAAGTGACGGTTTACAATTTATTTACTGGTTACCGCTGTTGGTGAAAGTGATGGTTTACAACTTATTTACTGGTTACACCTGTTGGCGAAAGTGACAGTTTACTGGTTACTGCTGTTGGTGAAAGTGATAGTTTACAATTTATTTACTGGTTACTGCTGTTGGTGAAAGTGATGGTTTACAACTTATTTACTGGTTACTGCTGTTGGTGAAAGTGAGTTTACAACTTATTTACTGGTTACTGCTGTTGGTGAAAGTGATGGTTTACAACTTATTACTGGTTACTGCTGTTGGTGAAAGTGATTGGTTTACACTTATTACTGGTTACGCTGTGTGAAGTGATGG